GACGCTCTTAGTGATGTGGTTTAATTTCAGGTGGCCCTGCGAGGAGGAGGGAGTTGGACTTGATGATCTTCGTGGGTCCCTTCCAACTCGAGACATCCTGTGACTGTATGTATTAGACTACACGAATGTAGCAGACGCCTGTATTCACCAGTCTTTCTTTCCAAGCAGATGGCACACAGGCCACCTCATTACAGAGGTAATACTGAATTTCTCTTGCCTTACCAGATGGAATAACATTCAGTGCTTAACAGGTCAGCATCCTTTTGTGCCGACAGTTCAGCACCAAGGCGCCAGAGGCTGAAACCAGCAGAGGAACCAAATAGGAACACTGCATGAGCAAGACCTTGAAACACAGGAAAGCTGAGGGAGCAAACAGAGAAACAGTACTAGCCTGTTTATCATTCATAGCTACATTTCAGGCACAGGTTTAAGTGCAGGAGCTAGCACAGGCAGAAGTAGCAGCTTTTTTTACTATTAACAAGAAAGAGCAATTAAGAGGCCATAACCCTTTGTGTTCCCTAGGGATTATGAGGAGAAAAAAAATAAACACCAGTCCCCAAGAGAGAATTCCTACAAAGTTAAAACTTTTTAAAAGGATTTTCTACTGCTGTCAGACTAGGAAAGCTTACTTTTGAATTCCAGTTAATGATCGGCACCAGTGACTGCCCAGTTATTTGTATTCCTTGTACATGTTACAGTGCGTTGTTTCCCAGAGGTATTCAAGTATAAAAGGCCAATTCTCAAAAGCAGAAATATTTTGAAATATTATTGCCCCTTCCCTGCTGCCATAGTGTTTTTCAAAACCCAGAATCATCTCAAAGAGCGGAAGTCAATAAAAGACTGCAAACTCAGTTGTAATAAAGAAATTGGTATTTTGTTTACTTAAAACTGAAGTTAGTTTTGCCTTTAAAAACAAGTATTTACAATATGATGTCAATATAGCTATGAAATACAGCTAAGTATACCTATACCAGACCAACACGACTTTGGAGTCTGCTTAGTTTCTTCACTTGTAACATTTATGCTGATGCTTCAGTTCTGAAAAGCTTTTTTTGCTTCTTCCTCTGAATTTTGCGTGGCTTCTTTTTATCTTTAACAATTGGCTTTGACTCTGGTTTCACGAGCTGTATTTCCACTGGCTTTTCTTCAGCTGGAGTTTCAAAGACCACTTCAGTGGGATCTTCTTCAATAAGCACCTTACTCCCTTTTTTCTTAATCTTCTGGACTTCCTTCACTTGCTGTTTCTCTCTAAACTTAGCCGCTACTGACAATCTTATTAGCCGTCGATGCTATAAAAATAAGAAATAAAATTACATCAGGTTTCAAATAAGCAAGAAGAAAGAAATCAGCTATTAGAGAAACAGGTGGTGATTTCTCTGCTTAATTGTCAAAATCCTCAGCATATTGCCATTTTTTCAGTGACATGAATTTTGCATTCACTCCATTTTTACACAATTACTTCGTTCTCCAATTGTGATCAGTTAGGGCACTCTTTTCTACAAAGGGTTCCAGGGAAAGGCATGCATGGTTCTCCTGCACAGACAGCCTGCAAGACCAGTTTGCAAATTAGTTGCTAAATGAAAGAGAAGACAAAGCTGCTTACCGTATTTGGGGACTGGTAATGGGGATTTTCATACAGAGTTGCTCCTCCAAAGCTACCTTGGAAGATTTTGATAAGGTTGAGGACAAAACGAGGCCCAATTTCTACTAGAGATGCGTCTTCTTCTATTATCTGTAATCAAAAGAATACTCTTCTCATGGACTGAATCAAAGTATATGACCTTGTGGGCACCTTGCATAGGGATACACAACTGAATTTAAATCCAAGATATGATGCCACTAAAGCTGGTAAGTTGGACTTGTACAAACACAGACCTTTATATAAAGCAGTTCCTTTGGGTTCAAGCAAGCACTTAGAGAGTACTGGGTATCTATGAATTTCTGCTTTAGAACGTAAGCTCCAGCACACTGTGGGCCAAAGCATCGAGTAAGGTTGAGAGATGTTACTAAGACAACCATCACAGAATCACAACAGAAGGTCAGCTGAAGTGCACAGAACATAAACCAGCTCTCTCCAGAGACATGGGAGAAGGTAAGTCCATTTTAGTCAATGCTCTTCTGCTCCTCATGCTGCCTCGCCAACCAGCAGGCTGGGGGAAGGAGGGCACAAGAAGCTGGGAGGGGACACAGCTGGGACAGCTGACCCCAACTGACCAAAGGAATATTCCACACCATATGACGACATGCTCAGCGTATAAAGCTGGGGGAAGAAGAAAGAAGAGGGGAACATTTGCAGTGATGGTATTTGTATTCCCAAGTAACTGTTATGGGTGATGGAGCCCTGCTTTCCTGGGGATGGTTGAACACCTGCCTGCCACTGGGAAGCGGTGAATGAATTCCTTGTTTTGCTTTGCGTGCATGCATGGCTTTTGCTTTACCCATCAACTGTCTTTATTTCAACCCACAAGTTTTCTCACTTTTACTTTTCTGATCCTCTCCTCAATCCCAACCAAGGGGGAGGGAGGGACTGAGTGGCTGTGTGGTCCTATCTGCTGCCTGGGGTTAGACCATACAGTCAGGCCAATCCTTGAAATTACTTTGTGCAAGCACTAGGTGTTGGCGTAGCCTGATAATAATGATTCTTCTCATTTTATTGTAATTAACGGACTTGATATATTACTCCACTGAGCTCTTCTTGAAGAGCTAAAAGAGACCACTAACCTGGTAATTCCGAAACCAGATCCTCTCGTCTGTAATGGTGAAGGTGAAAACATGATCTACAAATGGCTGGCTTTTGGGGTGATACTGTGGTGTACTAAATATCTGCAACAAAAAGCAGTATTGTAAGAGGCCAAACAAAAGGCGTTTTTAATTCATTTTAATTTACTAAGATTCCAATCCCAGGTTACATTTCAAAACCCAAAATTTAAGTGTCCCAGTGATTTTTAAGCTCACGACCCTAATTCTTTGAAGATTATTTTTTAAGTTCAGAAGTCTAAAACTACAGCTTAAAAACCCCTGAGATTTTTAAATATGTTGCCAAAAAACATTTCCAATGAGGAAGAAACAATGGACAACAGAACTAGAGACTGACCTGAATAAACAATTCTTTTAGCAGGGCATAGTGTGGCTCCTTGTCAAATGCCTACAAAGAAAAATGTAATTTTACACGCAAAGCTACGTGCAATAGTCATGTAAAGAAAACAAAAGCATAATCAATGAAATAAAACCTATACTTACTGGATCAAAAGACAAAAGGGGCCGTGAGCCCCTTAGGCAGTTTCCTGTCATCTTCAATTCAGCCAGTGTGTGAACTACAGTGATTTTTTTAAAAAAGATTATTTTAGTACTTACAAAAAAAGTACTTTAGTACAGACAAGAAAGCAAGAGTCCAAACACAATAACGACAACAAACTTACCATTCTGCACTAAGAATTTAGCTGATGGTCCCTGTGGTGTATTTGAAAGCCTGCAGAGAACAGGTAGTGGGGAGGAGAGAAAACAAAAATGTTAACAGCAGCCAGAAGGTATGCTGTATTTCTAGGGTACGCTCCAACCAGTTATTTCTGTATTGAAGTAATTTCAGTTGCCTTTACAGCATTATTAAGTTCCTTTAACATACTTGTAAATACTTGCTTTCTAAACAATTTTGAAAATGCTTCTGTAGACAGTCTACAAAAGCTGCTCAGGCATTGTAACTTGCACTACCCACAGAAGAGCAAGATTAATACAGATTTAAGTAAGAAACACAATTTCATGCATCTTCACTATTACAGTAAGAAACTTTAGATAGAACGGAAGCACCCCCAGCTAGATACGGAAATGCAAGAAAACATAACATTCCCTTACCACATATAGAGATCCTGTTTCTTTTTGGCTTCAAAAAAGATGCACTTATTGCAATTTTTCATTTCACACACCTACACAAGACATGTCAAATTAGCTGTTTACAAAATTCTGAAGACATTTTCAAAAGCTTTCTATATTAATCTCCAGTATCTTCCCCTCTCCAAAATAAAAGTTCAAAAGCAAAGGTCTCGTTTTAATAAGGTGCACCTACTGATCCCCAAATTTAAGTTGAAGTGCTTGGTTTGTTGAAACATTTCACATGTTTATTACCGGGAGTAGTAACTTCACTAAAGCCACAAGCAATCTGATAAGCTCTCCAGAATATAAACATTAGAGCAGGAGTTGTGACATTAGGTTCTAGTTGCAAAACTACCAATGTCCTGCTACATTATTTGGCCTGGCTGCATATTGGTTCTCAGCTTTCTTGAAGTACAAACTGTAATACACCTTCCACCTATATAAAAAGGCACATTCTGTTTTATTTCTTCATGAGAAAAGTCTATGTTTAATTAAATGTTTCATTTTGGTTTTACTAATCAAAAGTGAACTTCTTGTTTTAACATGAGCACTTTTTGAATATTCGTAATTTTCATCCATGAAGTTACACAACTCCTATAACTAGGATGAGATCCTTTGAACCTGGCTGCCCTTTTCTCTTGCACATTGAATTTCCAGAGAAAATAAAAAAGAAGCACTAGTTAAATCCCGGATTACCTCATTAATTACAAACAACTGGTCTTTACGATCCATTTTAGTATCTGGAAGACAAGAACAACATTTAGAAGGCTGGAAAACAAATTTAACACAGGAAGTTCTTTTAACAGCCAGTCCTTTTGTAAAAATTTCCCTGTTTTAAACTTATAATGAAAGATTAAGAATAACTATCATTTCTTTCAACCATGTTATGCAATAAATAAAAACAGCAACAGAAATATCTGTGCACTTACAGGACTGAGGCCATAGGAGTCACTTCCCAGAAAAATACTAAGATACAATGACAGTCACTGTATTTGTTGGCTCAAATAGGGCTTGATGTTTGTTTAATATAAAGTTTCATCAAAACAGTTATGTACCACATTTTTAAAAAGAACAAGTTGTGAGAAGTTCTTGATTTAAAACTATTCTGAATATGTAAGTTACGGATGATGCCTAACCCTACCTGCTTTAGAGTGAGGCATCAATGTCCTTAAGTCTTGCATTAAGTGCCTTGTTCTGAAATTAATTCCACGGGAAGAGAAAATAAGCACTCGCTCCTTGTTTTTCCATTTACCCTAGGAGAAAGACACAAAAGTTATACAAGAAGTTTCTAGCCTTAAAACTACTAGAACACAGCAACAATAAACGTTTGAACTGTAATTACAGAAAAACACAGTAAAAACATTCGTTATTAAGATTATCTGTCCATCTGCACAGAATCACTCTCTCAGCAAGAGTGCTGACTTCCCTACAGAACATGGGGGCATAAGTTTTCACGTGAAGAACTGACATCCATCCTGCTTCATTACGTTTCAACATAAAGCTTTTCACGCCAAACACGTAAGCGATAAGAAAGCCATATGCATTACATATTCACAAAAGGCAACTCTCCTTCCCTCCAAAATGAGCTGAGCTACAGCCTCAGAGCACAATTTAGCTTTTCCTACAGATGAGCATGTGATGAAATCTCAGACTTCAATGTCCTATTTCTTGGGGTTTTTTTGAAGCAAACTACAAGGCAATTATTGAAGCCTTCTCAGGATGATTCCTAAATGAAACGGGCATGAAGTACCTAGCTCTGTAAAATACTCCAGAGATTAAGGTAATACAATTTATTTACATTGACCAGAACAATCCTTCTCGCATATTTTCACAGAAATAACACGCCATCGCATGTTACTTCTATTTGTGCATGAATTATAAAAAAACCCCGTTAATATACTTCTCCCTATCGCCGCTTAGCAGCTGGGTTCCCCCCAGACACCCCGCCTCCCGCTCCCCCAGCCCACGGAGACGGAACACCTCCCGAACGCCCGGCCCGGGCAGGGGGATGCGGTACCCTTCCCATGAGTAAGCGCACGGCCGGGGCAGGGAGCCGAGCGGGGACACCGGGCCTGGCGCGGCCCGCTCCACCCTGGGCAGCGGGGCTGGGAGGTACCTGCGAGACCGGCGGCGGGATGCTGTACTCCCCCGGGCCCGCTCCCTCCGGGCCCGGCTTGGCAGCATGCTCAGGGGCGCTCGGGGCTCTCTTAGCTCGCTTCTTGGGCCGCGCAGCCGGGGCGTCAGGCTTCCTCTTGGCCCCCCCCATCTTGGCCGCAACCACGCTGTCCCCGCCGTCGGCGGCACTTCCGGTCGTTGGTACTTCCGGCCGCCCTCACTTCCGTTTCCTTTCCGGAAGGGCGGCCGGCGCGGCCGGGGGGGGGGGATGCCCC